TTTTTTTTGCTTGGGGCGGCAGAAATGCTGGAGCCGGCCCTGTCCTTTCCCATTTTTTTTCTTTCTCTCTTCCCTTGTAAAGATACCTGAATGGAAGAATGTTTTCACTTCCTATATAGAATAGGATTTTACTTCCAGGTTTAAAGGAGAGCAATCTGGAAAACCCATGGGAACAATAGCCATTTGTGGGGGGAAAAAACCATGACCCCATCACCCAAAAAGTCTTATGTTGTTGTTGTTGTTGTTATTATAATTATTATAATTTATAAATTATATTATTTATCATTCTGTTATTCCATGGCAGAAGAGGAATTAAGTATCTTGACCCCATGAGGAATTTAAGCCTGCTCTTGAAAGTCAACTCATCTCATTCAGAGGTGTGCTACATGCAGCCCATTAGCCCCTCAAGCATAAACTTTTTCTTAGTGATAGAGTTGAGATGGAGATTGAAATGTACCCTCTCACTCCAAGAGGCAGTCTGTCCAAGTTTGGATTTTTGTATGTTGACTGGGTGATATGGGGAAGTTTGCATTCACTGCCTGGGTTAGGATAAACAAAATTACAGTCTCCAAGTCTGGCAATACACATCTTTCACAAGCACTAAAATTCACAAGAAAATTCTTTATAAATAAATACAATGTGTTAATGTAATTTTAAAGGTCTGAATAGTGAGTTGAGCTGAACCAGTGTCCCTGTTAACTAATGAGTTAATTAACTGATGAAACATTTTAACTAGAGATGGATCTAAACCAACACCCTAGATCCAGACTTAAAAGGTTTTGGAGGGGGGGAAGATTTCACATTTTGAATGTGGCCATTTGATTTCTCCAATGTTTTCCGAGGTGAACTTGTGAGTTAGGGACACCTGTTTGTGTGTGTGAGTGTGTATATGTACACGCATGCACGTATATATGTCTACCTGGTTTATGTAGGTAAGTGTGTGTGTATGTTTGCACTCATGCTCGTGCCCTGGGACGGACTCCTGGAAAGCAGTGCTTCAGAAATCCAACCTTTTTTCCATTTGTAGCCCACATTTTAGGCTGGACTCTGGGAGGCAGGAGGGGACGGGGGACATTTCTGAGTCATCTTGGTGGTCTATATCCAATCCAAACGATTTCCCTCTGCACAGGTGCTGTTGGCTGGTTGAATCAATTTTCACCCAACAGCATATTGTTTTATCCTATTATCATATTTTCTCTCATGTTACAACATTTAAACCAACCATAATGATTTACAACACGTAAGGCCCTGTGTGTGTACCAACATACATACACATTATGTACAGTATGCATTGTGTGTACATAAAATTCATATAAACAGAGACAAGGTGGGTGAGGTAATATCTTTTATGAAACCAACTTCTGTTGGTGGAAGAGAAAAGCTTTCGAACTACACAAAGCTCTTTTTCAGGTCTGGGAGAGAGACTCAGAGTGTCATAGCTAAATACAAGGTGAAACTGATTGTTTAGAATAAGTAAAACACATATTCTAAGGGACCATTCAAGGTAAAGTGTCCTGTTAACATCCCTGCAGTTATAAGACAAAAAAGTGGGGTTAGTGGGCTACAGGTTGTTGTGGTAAGCCATAAATCCAGTGTCTTTATTAAGACCATGATTCTTAGTGTCTAGCAAAGTTATGAATTTAATCTCCTAGGCTTGTCTTTTGAAGGTGTTGTACAAGTTTCCTTTGAGGACAAGTACTGAGAGGTCAGATATGGCGTGATAGTTTGGTGAAAAGAGTTCACCCATGGGTGATATGATGTTTTTGTCTTTTATCATTTTTCTATATGAGTTCATTCGAAAGCATAGTGATTGTCTGCTTTCACCCACATAGTTGTTATTGGGACATTTAGTGCAATGGATGAGGTACACCACATGTTGTGATAGGCAGTTAAAGACCCATGGATTTTGAAAGGTGTGTTGTGGGGGATATTGATCACCCTAGCAGTGGAGATATGTCTGCAGGTTCTCCATCTGTTGTTCTGGCAGGGTCTGGTGCCACTTTGAGTGATGGGTCCTGGTCTGTGGAGAGCTTGCTTCTGATTGTGAGCTTGGCAAGGTTGGGGTGTTATTTTGAAGGTCAGAAGAGGGGGGTTGAGGAAAGATTTCTTTTAAGATGTGGTCCCCATCGAGTATGTGTTGTAATTTTTTGATGATACCCCATATGGGTTCCAGTGTGGGGTGGTTGGTGACAACTAGGGATGTATGGTCAGAGGTTTTTTCCCCCTTGTATCGAAGCAGGTTCTCTTGGGCTATTTGGATGGCCTGTTCCATGATGTGATCTACTTCTCTGGTGTGGGGTGTCCTTGTTTAGCTGTGATGCTCTGAGTTCCTTTCCAAGATCTGAAGAAGAACTCTGTGTAAGCTCAAAAACTTCTCTCTCATCAAACAGAAGTTTGGTCCAATGATTGATATTACCTCACCTACCTTGTCTCTCAAATATCCTGGGACCAAAACGGCTACAACAACACTGCAAACATATAGACAGGTGTACCTATTATTATGGTACCATGCCATGTTCATTAATCTCGATCTCCAACCTGTTGCTGAGGTGCAATGTAGATATGAAAATACTGGTAGCACCTATTTTTTTCTCTCCGCAGAAAAGTGTTCAAGGAAATTGGCTCCCTTACATGGAGGGTGAGGCAGTAACTTGCTACACTCCTCCAAATCCTTGGATTTATTACTGCTGCCCTGGAAACTGGGTTCAACACATGGGCTTTGGGGTGGAGGGAATGCAACAAGAAATAATTTAGATATAAAAATATACACAAATGTAAATAATTCAAAGTGCTGGGGAATCAACTACAAAAGTGGGATTCTACCATTAATGGCTAGTGATGAGAACGTGGTGCTCTTTTTTTTTTTTTTTTTTTTTAACAGTGACTAGACTCACACATTATGAGGCTATCCATAGTAGGAGTTGGAGAGGCAGGCCCTGAGTACTCATGGCACAGTGTGATAGGAGCAGAAAGAGCCACTCCACAATATTACTGTGGTAATAATTTCTTCCTAATAAACTCTATGCAGAAGGGGCCCAGTTTTTCTAAACTGCACGTGCACAAATGCTTGTGAAAAATGTGCACCTCATTTGTGTGCTCTGTTGCAGTAATTAAGCATACGTATTAAGCACACAGTTATGCATTTATGTTTTAAATAATCAGTGTTTGTTCAAATGTGCATTTATTATGTATATTTTACTCAAACCCACACATGAACACATTTTAATATTTTAATATTTCTACATACTTTACAAATATCTAATCCAATTTATCTTTTGTAGGCCTCATTAGCTCCCCTAAAAATGACATTGGGAGACGTTGTAGAGAGATCTGTAAATCTGCACCAACTAACTTCTTTCTCTTTTCCCCAGCACTGGTGTTTTTTGTTTTAACTTGGAATTCCTAAATTGTCGAGTGAATTTTATTCTCTACAAATTATTTCTTGTATTCTTCCCTGTCACACCGCCAGAGCACACACCACTGTCAATCTGAGTACAAACCCCATTTTCCCTGTTTGAATAAATGGCTTGTGTAATTGCATCTTCACACTGTCTCCTGGTTTCTGCAGCTAAGCCTCATTAGTATGACATTATGACACAGAAAACAGTGTAAGGAAATTATTTTTCATATTACTGTAGGATTTGCAAGATTTCTAATGGGAGACCTGTACAAAATATATTCACACCTTCCTTTCCCTGAGGTACTACTGGTCTTGGGCCTATTGTACTTTGAGTTTCCCTCAGTACAGTAAAAAAATTTTAAGTTGATCTTTTTCTGAAAGCAAACAGATCTCCTTTTAAAAGTATTTTGTTTCCCCGCACAGACATTTGTACTGCTATGGGTAAAGTGTCAATAATAGAGGGTTTATGTCATAATCAAGTTATCAGTTTTTCATGTACTCAGCACTGAAACCCTGATTTAGGCTATCATTTGAAATTTTTGCTTTGAGATTAAAGTCCTCTGAAGGCAAAATATTAGTACATTGAGTTTTCATTAAAAAAAACTGTGCAACCTTGGTATATGGAAAAAAGGATTAGGTAGGAGAAATGTTAAGCATATGTAATGGGACGTATTTTTAATCACATCTGCTCTATGCTTCAGTACAGTTTTCTCTAATCTCTTTTTGGTTATTAAACAGAAAAAGACCTATCAGTGCATCAAGTGCCAGATGACCTTTGAGAATGAAAGAGAGATACAAATCCATGTTGCAAACCATATGATTGGTAAGAAACTCTTTAAACCAGGCCTCTCATGGGCTACTTGTTTTTGTTACTCTTTTTGAAATTCTATTCTAATCATTTGTTAATATTCACGCTGTTTTTTTAAACTTTCAAGGCAAATGGTTTAGATGTAATGATTGTTCATTTCAAAGCTTTTTAAATGTGTGGTTGTAAAAGTATTACTGCTGAGCTTTTTCTACCCTTTTGAATCCTCTTGTAGCATTTTCACTTATATTAAAATCAAACTTTTGACAATATCTTACATTTTATAGCATAAATTTTCCTCTACCCATGTAAAAAGTACTTGCCAGTTGTCAACCACTTAGGAGCAATTATGCTTCAATTTTGTATGTCATGACATTGAATAGATTTAATGGCTCACATTTTCCCAGTTAAATGTGATGAATTCCTGAGGCACATTGTCAAAACAAAATGCTTAAAAAGTTATTTCAGTGCTTTTCTTTTTTTTTTTTCAAACAGTTCTGGACTTTAGAAGGTTCAACTTTTCAGATGTTCAATTTTTTTTTTAAAGCAATACCTTGCTGAGATCCCTAGCATAACAAGCTGCACTCAAGTGTTATTGTAATCTGAAGAGTGGTATTTCTGTTGCAGCTGTATGGTCATTTTCTGACAATTGCAAAGAAGTATTTTTTCCTCTGTGTACAGATGTTATAAATATATGTGATGGCCCAAGAGATCAGTTTATTTTGATGCATAGATGACAAAGGAGTTTCTTATACATGTCACTCTAGGCATATGTTGTAAGAGATCCTTCAAGGACCCTACAGTGCACTTTATGTGTCCCATATGTTCATGTGCAGCATTTATCTTAGATAAGCGTAATGGTTTTCCTAGAACAATTTTACATTTAGGAGACTATTCTCCCCTCAATGCAAGTATGTAACTCCCATTATCATTAATGTGAATTATGCCCAAATATTGAAGGAAGAATTAAAGACTGACACAAAGATTAAAAAAAACCTCTTTATAAATGCAAGATATACACTGTCAGTCAGAAGAATTTACATAGTAGTGCTAGGCAAGAGTTTCAAGTCTGTCAAATAGAAGATGAAGATATCTAAGAATGTTAGCTTTTGTACCAGGTGTTAATGTAATCTCTGGTTTGCAGACTTGAAGGGTGAGATCCTTGCTAATTGGACCACAGTGATTTCAAAGTCTTCCCCCCACTCCCACCCTGCTTTTTGTTAAGAAACCTGAAAGAGAGGTCTCCTTAGGAAAGCTGATATGTGCTTTTAACTTAAGCTGTAAAACAGAGGTTGATAATCAGTGATCTAAAACTGTGAAGTGCATGGGATTCTGCTATCAATGTACTGTTTGATTACAGACAGAATTGTTTTATGCTTTTTGAAATAAGTAACTTCTTTAACTTACAGACATATGATATATACACTTCATACATTAATTATTGTAAGACCAAAGTTCTGCTCTCTGCAGTAATAACTTGATGTATATATGGTAAAGCTTGAATTCTAATACCAGAAGTGTTGGAAACTGTGGCATTGGTATAGGATATGTGGAGCTGAGAAAAGTGTGGTGCCTCTTTCTGGAAGGGCTGCAAATGTCAGTTCTTCAGAATTGTAAATAAGTTAGAGTGCAAACTTCAGAAGACTGTAGAAAACTACAGGAACATAGTCCCAGTATGGGTAATGGATTTCAGTTCTGTAGGACTAAGCTGTGGTAAATACTAGAGTGTGCCAAGGCACGAATTGAATATCACATCTGATTTCAAAGGGCCACATGCTTCCCTCACTTGAAAAACCTACAGATTGGGAGTGACTCGGAGGAGCTCCACAAGGTTCAGCTCACAACTGTCTTTCGGTTGGGTTTAGAAGATCAGAGAAGAGTTGAAGAATAGAAACTCTGATGGGAAACCAAGCTTCTCTCAGGCCCTGTAGATCCTGAGCAACTCCACAACACTCTGTGGCCCCATCTCACCCAGGAAGCATAGCTGACTTAGGGACTATTCTGCCAGTGAGTTTACTGCTGGCACTTGCACATGACTGAAGGATATTGAAGGTATGGGGAGAGCAGTTATAGCTCATTCCACCACCAGTGACTCCCGCATATGTTTTTAATGCTAATCCAGTATTTCAGAGATATGAATATCATGGACAGTGATTGCTCCTCTGGTCTGCTCATTGCCCATCTACTCCAAAATTTGCACAGCCTGTGCTGGGCCCGTCCTATGGGTGAGGAGCCCTAACAATGCTTGTTTTACTCCCCTTCATTTACTATAGCAGAGGAGGGCATGTGGCTCCTTATTAGTAAAGTAGTTTTACTTATAATAAATGTAATGGGTTAAAGAGTTTTTCATTTTACAAATCTAGCCCAGATTGATGGTGATGGAAGGGTAGTTACTATTCAGTAGCCTCTGAGAAGTGAGTTGGGGGTCTTGCTTGAATCCCAGTGGACCAAAGTCCATATTACAAAAATCACCACCATGAATTGTTACTTATTTGGAGCCCTGATAGAGAAATTAGGGATTTAAATTGGCAAGGAGACTGCCCACCCTAGCCTCCAAGTCAGGATGGAGGCATACTGGTGCAGTAGTGTGCCAGGGAAGCTTGCATTGTTGCGGCCCATGGTGCATATGCCCAGTGGCTAGAGGGGTTTAGTCACTAGATCTGACAGTCCAACATCTTTCAGTGGCACTAACTTTTTTTCCTGTCATACTCACATGCACACAAAATAAATGATAAAAGTGGCTTTCTAAACTCATACTTATTCTTTTCAAATAATAGTCAACAAAATGATCTATGCCTTTTAATATAAGACACCTCCGTAGCATGGTTAAATAATTACATTAATACTTCTTACAATTTAGTTTTTAAACAGTGCCAAGTATTTCATCTGGTTAACTGGGCTGCATCTCCCTCTTTTACTTCTTGGCTGTATACTCAGGAGTTAGAGGCCCTGGTTGTAATTCACTAGAGTAGGTTGAAATTTTCAAAGTAGTATGGAGGAAATTTTCCACACTACTCCCACGCACTGCTTTGAAAAACTACCCTTCTGCACTCTAGCCCTTCATATCCTGTACCCAATCACAGAAGCATATTGAGTCCCATGCAGAGTCCCTGGAGACTGAACAGACTGGATACATCCCTGGAGCAGGTATATGGTAAATGTTTTGTTTTATTTTAAGCTACTGTAGGCTGTAGGAAGGTTTTCAGCCACAGAGTCAGGCCCCTTTAGTCGTGATTAGTTAGGAAGGGGTCTGGGGTTTTTGGGGTGGAATTTTTAGAAAGCAGAAGGTCTTTGAAACTGATTGGGGCTCCTTTGAAACATTTCTGTCCACAGAGAAAGGGGATCCCTCTTTGAAACATTTGCCAGCATTGGGGAGTCCACCCAGGAGTATATCAAAAAATGTCTGTAGTTCTTGCAGTCTCTGTACTCCTTACCTCCTATTGTGCTGACCTGACCATGTTTCAAGTGTTTCCCCTATTACCCCACCACTGCCTCTGATGTGCAGTCTCTATTAGATGCCTAGGAGGATGGGCATGCTAAGCAACTGGCTCCACCGGCGGGAGACGTGAACAACCATGGCAACAGCAAAAATCACATAAAGCTCTTAATAGATCTTTCTCCTATGGCTGAGGGAGCAGTAGGACACTTGAATATTCAATCATTTGGCCACTGATAGGTCCTTGGGCCACGTTTGTGGCAAAGCATTCCCTCTAGATTTATCTCAGTGTATTTATTTATTTATTTGGATTTTTACTAGTCTAAGATAAGGTGTCCAGTCAACATAGTGGGCACCCTTATTAATTTTTATAAGTACACACACAAATATACAGCCCAATCATCTCTGTATATTCTTCCCAGCCCCTCCCAATCCGTTGTGTGTATAAAGGTCAGCATTCTTCTGGCAAACTATTTTGAGAGCCATAGAGTGTAAAAATGGGCAGATTATTGTAAACTAGAATGGACTCCAGAACCTGTACTTAATTTGTGTTGGGGAATACATAAAGCAGGAGGCCCAGTTTATTCATTTTACAGCTGTAAGGGACAATAGTGGCAGTCGTATTGAAATAGCTTTGTCGTCTGGATCTTGGACAGCTTTGTAGACTTAGGGCTTGTCTACACTTACCGGGGGATCAACGTGCGGCAATCGATGCATCAGCGGTCAATATAGCAGGTCTAGTGAAGACACACTAAATCGAGCGCAGATCACTCTCCTGTCGACTCCTGTATTCCACCTGAAAGAGAAGCGCAAGGGGGGTCGACGGGAGAGCGTCTCCTGTCGACATAGCGTAGTGTGGACCCTGTGGAAGTAGATCTAAGTACGTCGACTTCAGCTACTTTAGTCACATAGCTGAAGTTGCATAACTTAGATCGATCTCCCCCCGTAGTATAGACAGGGCCTTAGCATCCTCTTGCTTGGATGATGGGGAACTACCAAATTACCTAACTGTATTGATGAAGGAGGCAAAAGAAATTTCAGTGCAAAAAACAAAAGTATGTTGCTGAGCAATGAGCTGCAGTGTGTTTTTAGTGATATTTTTGATTCAGGTGACACAGAATCCCAAACATCTGTATAACCTAATCTGTAATAAAATGCCACTGATCCCTCCTGAATATTGTGTTTCAAGTTGTGGAATTGTTTTGCCAGAATCACAAACACATACGGAATGTATATCATCTAAATTTTTTCTGTAAATTGACACAAGTATTCTAAATAAAACCATGACCAAAAATAAGAATAACTAGTGTAACAAATTTGTGGCTAAACCCAAAGAACTAGGATAATACACAGACTTGAAAAGACAGCAGTGTGTAGAAAGTTGTTTTCACATTTAAAAGAGCTATTAATTGATAGACAACTAAATCACAGAGATAACATCAAGAGAGCAGTTAAAAGATTTGAGATTTCACAGTCAGAATGTATCTAAGAACCGTTTGGAGCATGAATCTCTTTGTTATACTTTTCATTGATTCAGCTAATAACATAACTGCCCTACCCATGTTTTTGTATGTATGTAAAG